TACGAACAATCGAAATACTACGTATATTGTTTGAGATAATATTATAAAACAAAAACACCAAAAAAGTAGTTAAAAAATGTCGAACAAAATCTTCAAACGTTAAATTTATAACAAGATATACAGGTACCTGTCTATAAAACAGGATGGTCGAATTTTAGGTACGTTTTACTTAAATTTAATGGTTAAACTGCAATTGGGACAAAAAATGGTAGAAAAAAAAGTTTTGAAAACACTGATTGCAATTCTGCAAAACTACATTCTTTTTTGAGCCTATAAAATAGTTTATTTGTTAATTTACTTTCAAAAATAGTTTCTTTTTTCTCGTATCATAAGGTTGAAGATTTTTCGTCTGTACCCTGCTTTTAAATATAGGTATATAATTTTGAATGTGTAACAATATCGAGGAAAATAATTGAATTCAAAACTTTAAAATTAAGTGAATAAAGTAGGTAAATAAATGAATGAGTAACAAATTAAGTAAATAAATGTTGGAATTGAAAATTTGCGGTTTCCGTCAACCCGATGACAATAATATTATATTCCACGTTTAAGTTTGGGTAGGGGGATTGTAGAAAAGAGTATATATGTATCGTCAACGGGTTAGTGAAAATCGAAAATGTTAACACCAAAATGTAAACTCCAAACTAATATCCCGTCTATATATGGTATTTTTAGTATACGTTGCTAATTTAAAACGGAAAATAGGTAAATAGTAGTCATTTCACAATTGAAAATAAGGGTAACAAAAAATTATGTTAACGCAACATTTTAGAGCTGCTTGTTTCTTAAATTGTTGACAAAATCCAATACTAATCAGAACATCGATTGAAGCCACTCGAGCCGATCACCGCGAGTCTGGATAAATATTCGACCGGCCTGCAGTGCGAAACAAGATCCAAAACACGATCGAGAGTTGCCGCTTCGTTTACACGTGTATTATAATATTCGAAATACTTAACGGCTTTTTCTCTCTATATATTATAAATGTATAGTTTTTTTTTTTTTTTTTTTTTACTGAGTCAGATAAGTGACTTTTTGAGTTCGCCGGTAATTGCGGGTGCCTTTTACGCGCGGTCTAAATGCTTATAGCATACCGCACGGATACTACCCACACGCGTATAATATTATAAATACACGCCCAAGAGTTTCTCGAGCCAGGGCATCCCAACATTGCAACCGTTCGATAAAGATTATATTGTTGTGCGACCCCCCCGGCCGTATCCGCGAGTGTTTGCGCTACGAAAATCCATTAGACTGGGCGTGTTTGGAATATACGTTTTATATTGGCGTTGAAATCTATATCGCCGGCAACGAATGTTGATACGATGCCAAAAAGGGGTTCTAAAAATTATCGGATGATTGTACGAAGCAATTTTAAAAAGCAAGTCGAGTTTCGTCTACTTTTTGCGAATTTTTCGTCACTAAAGTCGAAATAACTCTACACGGAAAAACGAGTGAGAAAAAAACAAAAACAAAATATTTTATATCTCCAACAGTCCCACTGTCGGAAAAATGTTTAATTTCAATTGCAATGGATGGGCTTTATACAGATCAGTTAAATATTTAAAAATCCTTTGTTCGACATTTGAAATGTTTGAATATACCGTAAAAATATTAAACAAAATTTAAGTACAGGCGTCTATATTTCTTATTCGAACTGCATTTAGAATTTTCTAATTAATAGTGCAATGGTTTATGGATACATAAAAAAAAATATATCTGATTCGTCTCAAATCCCATTATCACTTTTTACCCGTAATTCACATGTCTTCAGGGTGTAAAATGGAAAAAATCACGTGGTTTGTTTATTTTAATGTTCACTGTTAAGAAATTACAATCCTAGTGGGTTCGTTCAAAATCATTTTGATTGAATTTTGATTTCATTGAAACAATACGATTGTGTTTGAATATGGTCGAAAAATGAAAGCGATATTATTATTGAAATAAATTATGTTTTATTTTATTTTATATTATATATTTTGCAAATTGCTAAAAAAAAAAAGTAAAAAAAAAGAACTTTATTCGTACAAAGAGCGGGTTCTCCCGCAGCCCTATCAAGTACGTTGCCAAAAAATATACAAAGTACTTATCAGTGTTTAACATAATAGGGGATGTGTACAAGTTTGTTATTTACAGTAGACATAAGTATGTGTGCGATTTTTTTTTTTTTTGTTTATTCAAAAGTGGTAAATATATTTTGTTTGAAATTAATATTACGTCTAAACAGTTCTTGCGGTTATTAGCAAATAAAAAACACAGGCTTAACAACTCATACATTTAAAATAATATGTCAAATTTTGTCATTTGTAAAATAATATTACGTTACTAACGAATATTAGGTATCGAAAAAATACTCGAGATATCTTGTTTTTAAAACTGGCATGGCGAAATTTAACCGTTGGGAATAGTTTTTAGCAGTTGAAAGTTTTTTCACAATATTTACTTTACAAAAAAAAACTACTTGAAAATAATACAAATAACGTTTCTAAATCGAATATAGTTTTCGATCGATAAAGAAGTTAACTGGTACTTTTCGAGCACTTTTTTTTCTTAAACATCGCATAGAATAACAATAAAACATAGATATATCAGGTCCGGTTTTATAATATAGCTAAATAACTTCTACTATTCAAATGGAACACACGAATTAGTGAATTTCATCATTTTCAACATATTACTTTATAATGTCTCATTTTAAATTACACGAACGTGTTTAAAACGCTTAACATAATCAATCGGAATCGTCTTTTAAAATGAAAATATGATTGCTGTTTTTTTAAGGGATGCAATTCAATACCCCGGTTAAAAAACAAGTACACGATTTATGTTCTTATCATAGATACAAAAACTGCAGTAAATTATTAGAAACTATTCGTTTTAAAAAATGTTCACTGACATAATGGAATCCTAACCATTAGAATATTTTTTCGTAACTCTAAATGAGGTATCTCAATTTTAATTATTACTCAATTAATAATTAATAAACCGGGTTGCATGAAAAACACAATTCTACTTTTTTTTTTTTTTTTTTACTATAGGTATATATTTTGTGCAGTGAATAAGTAATTCATATTTTTATTCATAAACTTAATTTTTAAAAAAAAAAAAAAATATTTAAGATTAAACAGTTAAATTATTTATTAATGAACATAATAATATCTGTTTCCACGAGACTTGACACTTGTCGGGTATTTTAAATTTAAATTACTACCGGCTGAAAATAGCTTAAAGGATAGGTTTTGTTAATTGGAATTAATTCAATATAGCGTAAAGTAAATATACCATCTACCTAACATAGAATATTTTGTTTTCCGGTCCACCACGGATAAAATAGAAACCAAAACTGCACGTGTATATTATATTATGTATTTATAGCCTTCGGGGCACTCGTTTAGCAAAGGATATGGTCTCTCATTAGTACTATTTGTGGTTGCCTTCCTAAAGAGCCCGTGGTTCTCGTTGTTTCAAATTGGTATATAAGCCCACTCAAGACAACCTTTATATTATTCGTGCATTATGTGCGTGCGCATAAACGTGACTTCTGTCGCCCAAAGAACTCTGGTCGCGTAATACACAGAAGAGCTATAATATAAAAATATAGAAGCTACTAATAAAATACTGTAGAGTTCGTTAGGGTAAATTGCGAATGACTCACGTATAAATTTTTAGCCAGCAGTGTCAGACGTGCCATTTGTCGCGTGTGCCGATGGTTGTACAAGAGAAAATTCAATTTGTTACGCGTCGCTTAATGGACGGGGCTTGTATTATATTATAGTCGATGTTGTCGAATTGCTGCATCACACGTTTTTATAAATTTTCCTAACTTCTATTTTGATAAAAATGTTTTCAACTGACTTTCGTGTCATAATAAAATAAATAGGCATCGTCGATTTTTAACTAAAAAATAATTTGATAAGTATACCGCGTCTAAAAAATGTTAGTATAAGTATTCTATGAATGCACATATTCTGCAATTATATTTAACCCAATAACAATAAAGAAAAAAAAAACAAAATCGAAAATAATGAAACCGTTATACCGTAAACATTTCTCTTTGCCAGTTCTTCTCAATTATTTAACAAAACTCTTCAGAAAATCATAAAACGATTTTTTTTACCAACTTAAAAGACAAATCAAAAAATTACTTTTCCAATGTTCCATCAATACCCAACATTTAACAAAAAAGATTATTTTTCATTTTTTTTTTTTTTTTACTGGAGCAAGATTTCTAGTATTAAAGTTAATTACAGACAAAAAAAAAAAAACACACTATTTTAGTAGAACCAATACATTTCTTGCTATGATACTAGTCTAATGCAATTTAAATACAGTACGTTATAAACTGAAATTAAAACAACCTCGAAGTACTCGGTAAGTTCCTATCTAATATGTATATATAATATTTATAAACATCTATAGAACGAGGTAACTCAAAAAAGTTTTTTTTTTTTTTTTTTTTTTTTTTAACCCATAAATCAACCCGACAAAGATAATTAATTGAATTTAAGATGAAAAATAGTAATCTCTTGATAATGCGAGTCGGTCCACGTTTTAGTAGATTACTAAACTTATAACATTTTACGATGCTCGTAAAAGAATAACAAAACGAAAGCTTAAGTAAACAGTGATGGTACAATTTTTCCAACCAAACAGAACCTCTAAAAAGATCTACCACTTTATCATTGTGTTGTGTGTATACCTATACTGATAATTTGTTGTCGTTTATATTTTCATTTATCTAAGCGTTAAATAATACAACAAATAATAAAATGATACTCTTCTGCTCGACTTAATTCAACATATAAATATTAAAATACATTATTTGCGTTTATTTTATTATCTTTATTATTTATAATACTACATTACTGACTACAACCAACAATTAGTAATAATACAAACTACTTTAAAACTTGTATTCTGACGAAAGTTTGCAAAGTGTAATCATCCAAAATTAAAATTTAATTATACTTCGAATAATAGATTAATTTTGATACAAGTACCCAAACTATACACAATTGAAAATAAATAAACAATAGCACATTTATTTTTAATTAAATGTAAACAGATTTTTGGTCAAATATTCCCTGAAAATAGAGATTATTAAAGGCTACACTGCCGGTTATTTATATTTATATAGGTTTACACTATATTAGCTGCACACATTTAATGGCCCCTTTTGGATAATATGAGCTTAAACTCGAGAACTATAGAGTTGTTTTGTAGGTGAATTGTAGTGATTAAACTTGGGTTGAATTTCAATACGATTTTCATTATGTAGTTGTGGGAGAGAGGTGTTTTTTTTTTTTTTCTTTTTAATTGAACACTAAAAACTAAATCAAGGAAATAAAATATTGTATACATTTGACGATAGCCAATGAATGCTACTTTTGAAAGTTTCAATATTCAACCCCATACACTATCATGTTTATGTTCAAATAACATGTTTTTATTTATTTATTTTTTTTTTTTTTTTTGAAGCACCTATTAAGTAATTTTAGTTGTATTATTATAGTGTTCGGTGATTTACTGTTTTACCAAGAATATTTAAATTACAAAATAGGCCGGGGAAAAGTTTAGCATTGGAAAAAACTTGAAAATAGCTTTCTTTTTAGGTTGAAAATCAAAAAATTAAAATGATTTACAACTAAAATCCTTTTCGAGATTAAAATAGGTATATACATATTGCATTATATAAATGTAATTTGCATAATTCGGTCGTATATAATATACAATATAATATAATATAGATATAGGTATATTTTTATTTTATGTATGTTAACAATTTTTATTTATTTCGAATTCGTAATCTAACCAAAAAATACCCTAAACACATTGTATAAATGAAAGGAAAACAGTGGGTGTATATGTGTGTGTGTAAATATATACATAATATAATATGTGGACGTTTGGGAAAAACCGTATGTTGTCGGTGCTTTTGTTGGCGTATATTGTGTCAGAATAATGAATGTAGTTTGGGACAAACGGGCTGAGGGATTAGAAACCGGCCGAGCCGCGGAGCTGTAAAAGTATACCCTCTCGTGTTGTTTTTGTACTTTGTAGAGATAAATACGTGTTTTTTTTTTCTGGGGTCAAATAATAAAGTGACGGTAATAATATTATTTTAAAATATTTTTATGGCCAGAACGCCGAGCGAGACGCATTATCTCTCTGGGGGACATATTTGAAATAACAAAACCGTTTGGAAAACAATCGGTTACATAATATGTATGGTATACCTATATACTATTATAGCCGTAGTGTACCAATATTTAACAACGAAATTGAGTGTAGTAATTGATTTCAAAATATCTTGGTGCTATACATCGCTGTCGATTATTAGTCAGTCTAATTATCATTAGTCAGTATGACACTATATTAATAATATTATGTGCATCAAATAACTTTCGAAATAATAATTTTATTGGCGTACATTGTACATCATACGATTGCAAATTTATTGTATACGAAAAAGCGGGTTTCACTTCTTTCAAAAAATTGACAAAATCCAAATTTATATAAATTGTTCAAACTGCTTCATAGTCATAACCCCGGGGTCTTCAATGGCCAAACACATCAAACCGTGTAGATGAGAATTAAATGGTTGATAAATGGTTGTAAGACTTTCTGACTATGTGAAAAACGGGAAAAAGATAAAATTATTCAGTTGACGAGCAGGCACCATAAAGGTAATATAATTTTATATTTATAAAGTTTTATAGATCTAAAATTTGCTATTAAATTACATTATAACAATATTGTGTTACTTACGGAGAATTTATAAATGATAACTTTTTAATATCGGATCTGAAACAAAGAAAACAGATTAATTTTCATATGATTTTCATTTAAAATATTCTTAACGAATTATAATTAAAATCTGTAGAACACTGTTTCTATAGAAATTTTTCTTAAAATCTACATGTTGACTGATTATTAAACAATATTATTGTTTCCAGAATATCACAACAAAATGGACAAAATGTATTTTAAATTATATAAACCACTTTATTATGAACTAAAAAGTTATCAACCCGTGAACGGTACTCTAGATATTTGTTTTATTGCTTTCAAACTATTTTCGAGTTCATATCATAATATGTGTTAGATTTAGATTTCTATGCTAGATATTCAAATCTCATCGGACATTCGATTTTCACATGGATATGTATTAAGACTATGGGTCAATTGATAATTAGTGAGATATTTTAATTTAAATTCGAAAAATCTGTTACTGTATGTTTCTATGGTCACTTCCATAGTAACAACAACACAATTAAATATAAACTATGTCCATGATTCATTTTTCAGCAACAAAAATAAGCCGATTATTTCGTATATAAAGCAAAATTAAGAGTTTTTATTTTTAAATGATAGCACTGGAGGATCTGTGTTAATATTACTACTCCACTGCAACCTCAGTTTATTTGAACCATCAAAAATTAATTATATAAATACAGAAATATAAAGTTAATACAAATATACAGGGTTTCCCACGAGAATTCGAAAAATGTATTAACTTTTGTTATAAATAAAAGACTATACTTTTACAAAAGTTTCAATCACCAAAAATTTATTTTATATAAGGTTATTTTCAATTTGTTTAAAAAAATTAGTCATGTTTTAAAATTTTTATTTTAATTCACCTCTCTTTACAAAAAATGTTCTTATATAGACTGTATCACTAGAACATACTAATTATTTAAAAAAAAAGAGTTGATACTGAGAATGGAAGCGGTCACTATTCTAGGTGAGAAGATGGGAAGGTAGTATAAATAAGGTTATTTCATTTATATCCGTAAGCAACAATAAATCATTGCTTGACGAAAGACAATTCCGGGTGCAGTTCGGTAATGCATAATTTGAAGTGTCGTATTTTTTTTTTTTGCGATTTTCGTTTAAATTTGATTTCAAAACGCTTATTAAAAAAAAAAATTTGAAAATTAAAATTCCTTAAAAGCTCGAAATTGGCTCAAAAGTTTTGGCAATGATACCGCAAGAAATTAAATCAAAAAGGCGACAAAAAAATACCTTGTGATTTGTCGATTAAATCGTTTTACTGGTAGAAAACATCGTCGGTGTTTTTATAAAATAACTAAATCGTGAAATTGTACGTTTTCATTCTTTTATCCGACTTAAGTGTTTTTATTTAAAAAATGGCGTCAAAAATCAAAAAAATGATCTGTTTAAAGTACAATTTATACAACTTGAGCTTTCACAAAAGATGTTACCCGTAAAAATCGGATCAAATTTACTAGGAAAAAAACGTGTCCACAGACTAGAACAAAGAAGAAGAAATAATCAGCATTGTAAAACCAATATCTCTCTCGCTACGCTCGGAATCTAATATATATATCAAAAATATTGAATAGAACAAAAGTTTAATAATTGCATTTGTCGAATACTCATGGTACATCCTATATAGGTACTGTTAATAAATACAATCGTTGTGCTGATGTAAAAGTCTACTATTCCTCATTACATATAAACCTTAATTTGCTAACTCAAAATTAGTGTCCCTGATCCATAGTCTTCCCAACCAGGTCAACAGAATAAGCCGACCTGGATACCCATTTTTTTTCTTTCTTTTGGCGTTGCGGTTGACAGAACCCGCCGGTTTGGGGTTTCGTGTTGAATACCTCTTTGCGTCACGGTGACAACCGCATCCACCACAACTAGGATTAGTTCACGCAGCTATCCATCACCCAGAAACCAAATGTCTGCCATGTCTGCCTTCCTGATCCTCTCATCACGTTCTTTGTGGCATAATATATCTAATAGAACGACTGGGTGCAACGGACAAAAACAACCAAGAGACAATCGTACCTATCGTGAACAGTGCCCCGAAACAGAATATCCGCAGGCCCTGTTCATTACTAGGAGCAATCTTTCTCCCATCGTCGAACGCTTTGAATGCCTAGTGGGAGAGATCCCAGTATGGGCAATCAGAGTGTATGCTCCACAATGTATTTCGGGTGTTAGATTTATAGGCACTCTACATCAGAAAAGCGTTATATTCGGTACAAATATTGCCTGAAGCACCCGTGGCCCGTTAGAGTTGTGCGGTGAGTGAGATTCATAAAAAGTCCCGATACCCGTCTCTTCAGATCCGGCAATATCCTGCGAGTCTAAGTATTCTTGTCCATGCGGCCCTACCTGTTAGCCCAAGAGCGGACCTAATCGTCTTGTATTGTTGCGAATAAATATACTATTATTTTGTTTTATTTATTTATTTTGTTTACTCAACGCAAAACTATATCAACTATAAATATCACTTAAAAATGCAACAAACTAATAAACAGAAGCCCCGAGGAAAAATCACCAGCCCCATGCACACCGAATTCAGCTGGCTGTACCGAAACTTTTCAATTGTTCATTATACCATGTTATAATATGTATTTGAATTATCTTTTTCTCGATTTTCCTTTGGCGTGTACAAAAAATAATTCCGAAGTCAATTTAATATAATAATAGATAGAAACCTATATAATAATAACAAAATCACATTTTACGGTACATCATTTTTTTTTCCATAACGTAAAATATAGTTTTCAATATTTACCGGTACTTTATATTATTTAGTGGCCAAACAAAATCAATTTCTAAATACCTACGTCCTACATTGAATACATTCAATTTTAATAATTAAACTACTTTAAAATTATTACTTTGTAATATACCTCTTTGTTGCATCAGTATTTATTGATTTTTAATTAAATATTGATGGACAATTATTATTACAAGTATAATTAACAAAACGATGGACTGTAAGAGTTTTTAATTTGTACAAAATGTTATAGGTACCAATGAAATGGTAATAATTAACAAATAATTTGCTCGGAACGTAAAATTTAATTAAATCGTTTATTTTTAATACGGAACATATAATTGTGATTAACACGTGGCATAATTTATTAACTAAGTATCTGGTATATAGTCTATTTCACATAATATGAATAATCTAAATAGATACCAAACTTTCCAAAACTATAAATATTTTATAATTTGTATTGTTTATGTAGGTAAATAGGTACTTATTATTTTTTTATATTTCACTATAAACAAAGAACTAACTAGCAAGAAAGTGTATTACTGTTATCAGTAACATTTAACTTAACTAGTTACATTTTTTTCATAAAATAACTATATTTAAATGACGTTAGATTAAAAAATTAAAGTTAAAAATAAAATTATAACGTTTTGCGTATTTTTAAGTCACGATTTTATACACTACCGAGATGGTGGAATTGCACTTTCCACCTAAATTAAATGGCTGAATACATGGTTAAAAACAGGTAATGATCAATAAAGGGTAAACATTATTAAAAGTAGGTACCAATTCCACAAAGTTAATGAAATATCGTATGCTTCTTTTAAACTAGAGATTGTAAAATATTACACGGAAACCATGATGCAATCCTATATATGTTGAATTTCTATAAAGTGCTGAAAGCCAAATATGAGCAACATTTATCTCATTTATCTAAAATATTTATTTAATTTGGTTAATGTCTTCATAAACTAATTTGTAAGTTTTATTCTGAATAAGTTACTAGTTTTCATTAAAATTGTAAGTCACTTTAATAAATAAATAGTTTAATTTTTTTTTTTATCATTATTTTAATTTAAACTAGTTAGAAAATTTGACTAATTTGCCCAGACTCGACTGTAATGTTATAGGACGTCATATTTACCGATGTA